TTAAATATTAGGGTTAAAAACCATGTTATCCTGTCCGTTGGCCCGTCTACACAGCTAATGATAGGTCTAACCTTAAATAGGGATGGATCGGTAGACGCAAGATCATCGCTGGTTACTAACTTTATAAGTAAGTACAAGACGGGGCATGTTGGTAAGGCAACTTTAAGTTGAGAGATAACTGATGGTTTCAAACCAGCAGCCCTTGCCATTTTGGCCCATTCGTGGTTTAGTTTTCGGTATTTACTTTTGAATTCCTCCTCAGATGATGGGCGATTAAGCGAAGCATCTTCAAGATGCTTTTTCGTTATCTCCACATCTAACTGATGAGGAATTACGACAAACTCTCCACCCTTATCACTAACGGAAAGTCTTATGGTTTTCAACCTTATAAGGTCTCGTACCTCTCGCATACCACGTTTTTGCACTGGAGTGAGGTTGGAGCTGTATCTTTTCGCGCGATAGTGATTAAGGAGTTTGAGAGTTTCATTCGCAAACATCCGAAATTTAACATCAACTTCATTATTGGGCTCTTGCTGTCTAAAGAACGTTGGGGGAAATGGTGCTATTGGTAGGGCCCCCACTTGATGTTGTCGCACCTATTTAGCGCTTCATCTCTAGCTTTTTTGCGGAGTCTATCTTGAAGTTTATGTAAACCACATGCGACCCTACGCAAGGTTATCTTAGAAATGGGTTCAGTTGGTGAGAAACTCGGTCCCAATTCTAATAACGAGTGCGCACCGTCAGGGTGAGTTATGCCTCCTAACACGGTTAGCCTTGAATTTTCTTGCACATTACCTATCCTAATGTGATCTGTTTGATGTTCTTTAGCGATATTTCGATAATTTGCCCCAGTGGTAGAGACGGTGATTGCATGAGCTCGGGTATAGTTTATCTGATTTCCTGTAAGACGTGTGGTGACGAATACATTGGCGAAACGGGTAGACCCCTCTGTGTCCGCATGAAAGAACACCTAGCCGGCAAAAATAGACCAAATACCCCGCTGGGCACGCATAGGACCCAGAGACATAACGGGGACGACTTCGAAGTATGTGTCACGATCCTCGCCGGCGAATCAAGAACACAGGCGCAAAAAACTCTCGAGGCACTCTGGATTAATTCCAGAAATCCGAAAATGAACCGCAGGGAAGAATGCCTCATTATTACGCGTGATATAGGGCAGTATATAAAACTGCTTTTCTGATGTGAGGGGCACATTATACTTCCACGTGATTTCTGTGCGGTTGGTCTCTACGTGAGTGGGTTTGAGTGTGAGTTTACTTAGTGGAAACCTCATAGAAAGCGGTGAGTGTGCAAAGCTGTGTTCAAAGTGATTGAAATCTTGGTTTGGAGTTTCTTTGTTTGGTTATGGATGCATCTGGCCAAGTGAGTTGCTATCAACTTGACCTTTCCAGGCTCTGAAGAAGGCGAAATCCGCCGAAACGTCAGCTTAATCGTGAACAAAGTATAGTGGAGTGTTTGGTTTCAGTTTAGACTTACCGACTAGATGTTCTTTAAAGCGGACGCAGAGCGGTCTACCCGCTTCGTCAACGTATTAATCCCCACATGCATTACAGGAGATTAGTCACACCGTACCCGAACTCATGCAATTGCCGTCAGGGCCAATTGTGCAGTTTTTCGATGTACATAGACGGTCATGTAGGCAGTTACGAACTAGCTGGAGTTTTAAAGTGTCCGGTAGTATTTCTATCGCTCTTTACTGAATTCGCTAGACCGGTCGTTCTTAAGCAATTTTAAGCAATTTTATCTTAAGCAGCAGCGCCCTTTTACACCTGCGTTTATTTCGTTCGAAATAAGGCGCAAGGTGAACGGCGCATTGCTCTCGCTAGAGTTGTTTCGAGGCGTGAATTTTCCTGTATGCTTATTCCGAGGAGATGCAGTTTCCTAGCCATGCGAGGTGACTATTTGCCGCGCCAATTTCATCGATTCCTCCTGTTCTCCACCTGTGCACAGTCATCTATATATCCACAGCAGATCAATGGCTGGAGATCGATTACTGGAGCTTCTATTTCAAGCATAAAGACGAGGGTAGGGCTTGGTGCTAGCGGCTTTCCCATTGCCAATCATCTCATTTGTGCGAAATACTTTCCGCACCATCTAAATATTGGGCAGTTAAGGCACCGCTTCAAAGGCGCAATGAGTTGTTAACTCGAGAAGCTATGGAGGTTTATCACACCTTCATATTGGCTAAGGGCCTTTCGGATGGCTTGTGTTGCGTGGCCATTCGGAACGTTAGAATAAAGGGTGGTAAGGCTACGCCGCGCACACTGTTAAGACGCACGTTACGTGCCTTTTCCGTAATATGTTTTGCACCTCTCCATTTTGACCTAGCACTACAGCGATCTGAATACTACATTTTAATCTCTTCGTTTTGATTGTTGCACTCTTTGTGTCTATGTAGAGATCCTCAGCCAAGTCTAGAGTTGCCTATGTTTCTCTTTTCCGCAGGTTCACCAATGATCTATGCATGCACAACAATAGCCTATCCCACCTACGCCCGACCACATTCAGCGGCAAACAGCGTCCAATATCTGTATTTCTCTGTCACATCAGCTTAAAATTACTATGCAAGATATTTTAGCATTGGGAGTGTTTCACATTGTTTTCTATTCCATCTCTAGCTACCAGTTACGCCATTGCTTACATTTCTTACACTTGAGTTTTTATTATCGCCACTTCGCAGCTACTGTGTTATCGCTGCCATACAATTGGTTTAATTACCAAATTTTAAGATCCGTTATTACGATAACAAGGGAAAGATGCGCAGGGCAGAAAATGTTGCACAAACGGGTATCGGGTCACCACAGGTAAAACTGAATAAGCCTCAAGCTTATTCGACTGCGCATTACATCACTCTCATCAGAGACTCCAGGTAAACTGCTCTCTGTAGGCACCGCATGTCAGCGCGTTGATCGTCGAGTGACTACAGCAGGCGCTAATAAATCTTTCATTCATTTTTCCCTGTCACGCGCAAGAGCAGCCCAATAGATTCTGCTCACTCTAGGTTTCGTTAAGAACTATTTCTTTCTTCCAGGGTTTTCGTGAAAACTGTGACCACCGTCCGGGTCGAAGATCCTCCGCCGTGCGTGTGCTACCCCAAGGAATCCAGTGGCTAACGGCTGTTGTCTATCAGTTATCATTTATACTCCATGTGCGTGCCACCAGCAATTTGGCGTATAGAACGGTATCTTCGATTTCTGATCGTTGACGTATATCGGAGCTTCGGTTCCCTTCCATCATTTATGTGATAGGAGGTACTCCTAGTATCCTCTTTAGACTGCGCGTTTACTAACGCTGAGTGATCTTTCGTTGTGCTTACGCGTCGTCCACGTTTTTGACGCATAAGGTAAGGCAGGAAGGATCATGGAGTCGGAAAGGTGGGCACGGAATCAGTTGTTTTTTATTCTCCTCACTGTATCCTCAATGCGCTTGAAAGCTCTGCAAGTGGCTCGCTTTTTCCTGGTCAACTCTGAAGCTAAGTCCGTCATCATATTGATTTTCCAACCTAACTAAACGTAACTGGATTATTCGGAGATATTCATTCCCCTGAGCGTGAATGGGGCATAATGTTTCAGTGTTCAGTGAGTGTTCTCGTATAGATGTAGTCTATCGTAATGAATGCTTTCCGAAACACTGCTTGCACAGATCGCTCCCCTTCATGCAGTGTTCTGTTGAACATTTATATATGACTGGTCCTGTGTTGAACTCTTGCAGGTAACTTGTGAAGAGCCGAGTCAGCGTGTTGATAAGGAATGTTGGAAAGTTCTTTGAATGTTGAGGTCTTAACCTGTCCCGACCACATGTAATTCTTTTCCAGGGTAATAGCATGTCTAAATTAGGAAGGGAAAACTAGTTAGACGACAAATCTTTCCTTCTTAATTTTATGTGGACACATAAGGACGTGGCTATTGAAAGGATTCGTGTAGTAATCGTGAATGGTTTTCGCCATAGCCTTTCAGGAAGCTGCAACTGTTCCCCTGGGCGTCGGAATGCAATCATCTAGGTTTTCTAATTAAGAAAGTTTCAGTGGGCTTTGCAAAAACTTTTTCCAGCCTTTGCATTTTCGACAATAACTGCTGTTCTTCTTCCTTTGAGATATTCTTTTATCGTTTGTCTGCACTATTTGCAAGTTCGGACGTGCTGGCATATCAGCTCAGGTATTTCTGTACACAGACTTCTCCTGGGTACTTTCGAGATCTCAGCTTTCAGAGTGCTAACGTGAAGAGATTTCATGAGGCGATAGTTTGCTTCGTCAATGCAACCAAAATTACCATCTTCTAAACAACCCATTTCTGAACTGAATAAATCCCAGTCTGTGGTGGTTTTGGACGTTTTTTGAATTTAGCGCTTTTTCTCCTTTCCCTGAAAAATGGATTCCGACGAGAAGTGATGGTTTGGTCCCGCTTAGATTTTTTTTGTGGCAAAATCGATTGGGCAGAAGCTTCGATTTACTGTGATGTTTTCTTTTTCATTATGGTATTCTCCTTTGAGAGCCTCTCACATTCAGCGTTGGGAGTGGAGATTCTGGAATTGCTAGTAACCGTGAATAACCTTGGTCGTTGTGTTAAGTCGGACATCTGCTTACTCGTTCTATTCTAGTTCCTCAGACGTTCTCTTGGACAATTGCGTCGAAATCATCAATACCTTAAAGAATGTATGATCTTTGCAGAGCATCCTCATCTCCACGTAGAACGCTTCAATTTCGTGTTCGTCAGTGGTTGATGTCGGCCCGTAGACGAGAAAGATTGTCAAAGCCGGTGTTGATCCAAGTATCTTTAGCCGTAAATGTCCTATTAGGGTGTTCGTTTTTGGGCTGAATCGATGCTCATGGCCGAAGTTCCAAAGCGGTATTGATGACAACGCCAATGCGGCCGACTCTTCTGCTGTCGCATCCTCCGATGAACAATTGTTTTCCGCCGGTGTCACGGCTTTGAATAGGTTGCATCCTGTCATATCAGCCACTACGACGACATTCCTTATCCTAAATGCGTGCATGATCATGTCCTCTATCGAGGGCTCAGATACAAGTGAGCGTGCATTGTAAGTACAGGTCGTCACCTCAGTTCCTTGTGGTTCAGACTGCCTAGAATAGCCCTGAGATTCTAGCAGCCTCTCTGTACTATTCCTGCTAAACGCTTCCTTATCGAGGGTTTTTTCAGGATCTGGGGAATGATACACACTCCTCCTCATAAACACAGAAGTTATGTGAGAAATCGGAACAGCATAAACGGGAGTCTATCCTTTGGATTCATTTACATCTCAAGGAACCATAAGGTCGCTTTTGATCCGCGATTAACCCCCTATCTGCTACCGTGGGACGCGCCATGTTGCTTCGCGACAAACGGCGTGAGATCTCTCCTCAATGAGCGAGGGTCAAATAATCTGGGGGTTCAATCTGGAAAAGGCCTTTCCGTGAGCAATTCTCTCTTCTGTCAGTGATTCGTAGTGCCCTTTGCACTTATGCCATTCATTTATAAGGCGTCTACGAGCTTTTTGAGGCAGAATATAGAGCTGATTTGATAGATTTCTTAGGGATGCTCCACGCATTCGACTTCATAAAGTGTCGTTAGACTTGAATGAATGCATATTTGGGTTTTACAATTACTCGCGGTGGCCTGCCGATGTATCGAGCCAAGTGCTGCTATCCTCCCAGACAAGTTTGGTACTAATTTGCCGACTCCGGAGGGATGGAAAGCTTGGTGGACCAGTAGCGCGAGGATCGATCCCATGTGTGTGCTGCAGGACTTCTCCGACCACTGCGCCATATGCGCTCCAATCATTGCAGAGGTGATATAACGCAGATTTCGCCTTTACAACGACTTTCGGTGGTCTACCAATGTGCTAAATCGGTATCTTTGTTTTACCTGACAAGTCTGGTATTAAACAGTCCATCGGGAGAGAAAGACTTGATTTAGACGGGGCATTGAGTTGAACCGTCGACCCCCTATTGCAGGGCATTTCTAGCAAGTGTTACACCCATTTATCTTAACATGATAGTGTATACATATTTACCTTAAAAAAGCTGTAAACCTGTACTGTAAGTTAATTTCACATTGGTTTGTTCCTTGGACTTCTTACTAATCGAAGCTAAGCATCATTCTCCGTATTTGCTTTCATCACCTCCAACTATCAAAATTCTTTTGCAATTTAATGATCTATTTTCACAGGAAATTGTGCCGATCCCAACATATCTGCTACTTAGTTGATGTGTAATAGCCAACCTGGCAAAACCATTCTTCTAAAGAAGCTCGGAGGAACGAGTTCCAGTTCCATGTGCCTTCAAGTTCTCACACATCATCGTTATGGATCCATGGGAGGTATACCAACTTACGAGTAGGTTTCCTAACAGACGGCGATAGCAATCCATTTTGACTTGCTACAAATTGACTTCTAGATCGAATGTCAAGAATTCATTCAAGCTGGCTGACTCTACCTCTAGGCCGAATCTTCAGTGTACGTAAAACTTGGATGCTTGGATGGGCCATCCTCACTACTTGTGCGGCCTCCGGCATAATTTCCACTTTTTCGGAGTTTTGTTGGCTTAGCCATTGTGGTCCCCTGGAGTCCCGTCATCCTCGCTAAAGTCTGTCCCAGGTTGCCACCAACACAGGCAGAGGCCACCCTTGTGGATCAGAGGGAGATTTGCCACCATGCGACTATTTTGGTACCAGGATGGTGGTGGATCCTGCTACTGGTTTACTTTAAACTGGGCTTCCTGGTGGAAACGCCGGATTCCTTCCCAGCTTGAGAGATCCTGCCGCGGGATGAATCCGCCCCTGTACATCGCAGTTCGACACCCAGGATCACCTCCCAGCCATTATGAGGCGATAAACCGTTGGGAGGGTACATAAAAACTCTATACAGTTTTTGAAAATTTATATTTCGTAAATTTTCCAAAATTGTTCTATGTGTATAGATTTTACGAGCTGTTGTCAGAATGGAACAGTTGAATATCCGCAGCTAAAAAGAGTGGCCGTTTTTGTCACAAGTGCATTTCTGTTTACAATGTCTGACATGCAGCGAATCAATCCACTGCAACCGTGCTATTAAGGAGGAAAGCAACCAATAAACTCTATAGTTATACTGATCAGTCTTTTTCTCAGACATAATGCATTTTCGTCAAAGCAAGACATTGTAAGTCCTTGCTCCTTAAAAAATCGATGAACTTAAGGCAAAAAATGGTGTCCAACTTCTTCAAAACGCATAGATGAAACAAAAAACAGTACCCTTCCAACACACTCTAACGATAGTGGCCAGTACTCCAAAAAGAAAAGCGAATGAGCGAAAATCATGTTGAGTTGTGTGCGAACGATTTTCTGGTGCAGAAAAGGAAACAACTTGCAAAAAAAATGTTTGCCTCGATTTCTAATCGCTGATTAATCAATTCCTATCGCAATAGTGATTTCACTGGCTAAGTAAGAGAACTGGGCGATAGGTTTCCACAGTTCCCTCTCAGATTATTCTCTGTTTACGTGAGCTTTGTGGAGCTTCATAGCGCAGATTTTGAAGGACGCAAGCCTGAATGACTATAAATTGCCGTGATATTAATCAGTGCCTGAATTTAGTTTAACACAAGGAGGCAATTAGGCTATGGCTAAAAACATATTTGCTTACACAACCCCGAAAACCCTAATCACTCAGAAATAGAAGTGAAAACGTGACACCGCCCACAACGCTATTAGGATACGGCATATTTATTTTATTAACTGATGCATAGTGTAGTTAATCCGAGTTCGTGATACATGGACTATACAATGATTTCATTTACAAGAGGGCGTTGTCGACTGAGGACACTTCGTTCGGGCGATACTCCACTTCATTGGATCCGGCTTGATGCGACAGCTAACATCCACATCACAAAGGCGAACGGCTGTGGCTATTGGCTTGAATCATCGCAGCTACGAAGAAGCCAAATATAGCAACTATTCCCTGAATAGCCAAAGATGCTTAGGTAAATTGCTATCCTCATCGATTAATGTGCAAGTGCACCCAGCCGCTCTATATACGATCTCTAGCTTAGCCTAATGCAGGGCTCATCTGCATCTCACTCGTCTGTTGTTCTAGCCCTCGGCATCTGGGCCACTGTACGCGCCACTACGGCCGCCATCGTTCGTATCCCCTTACTTGTCATTGTTATCAAGTTGCTGTTATCATAGTACTAATGTTGCAATAGTATTGTTTACAATACCCTTATGCCTTCGTAAACCTCGCACTAGTAGTAGGTACAGCACCTCATAGCCTTGAACTTGCCTTATTTGTCTGTCAGTAATTCTCCGTCGATATCAGTGCTGTATCGATGTTGTATTTATGTATATAAACGGTTTAATTACCCAAGTTTTAGGTAGTGCCTTGTGACAACTACTAAAAGTCCCGCGTGGCATTTTCTCACGAAGTCGAGCATTCTGCTAAAAGCTAGTGATTATTCGGTGCCGAGAACTGACTCGAAGGCCTATTTTCGACTAGCAACTGCACCAAAGACGTCGAAACGTTGGTCGAATAAGGCTTTTATAAAGGTCTCGGATGAGCTTAATAGACCGAGAAAATAATGATTTACAATGAGTTTTGATTTTAGATTTGAAAACATTGGTTTTCTACACCATCCCCGCGTTAGTGATTTTTACGCTAAACCGGTGTTATTTTAATAATACACGAAAGCAGTGAGCCCTGCCGATATATCAATTGAGGGCCTACCGATATATCAATTGAGTGTGCTTATCTTCACAAAAACTGTGGTATAAATTTCCGAAACATGGAGGGTTGGAATGATTGGTTTTCTTGGGGTGCAGTACCGAATCGCGACTGCGCTTACATTGCAGAACATCACAAAAGGTACTTCGTATGTGCCAATGTATTAGGTCGTTGGAGAACTGAGTCAGAGTCTCAATCTCTATATCTTAAGGGGCACAGAAAAAGGGTCTGTTTTAGCTCAGAGTAAGCTCCAATAATCGAAATAAAAACCATTACAAAGACAGTGGTGCTGAGATGTTTTTCCAAAATCCAGACCCCAGGTCAGTTTCGAAACCTCGATTACTCTTTCTGGGGGTAATCTCATTTCCTTCCAAATACTGACAGAGACAAAGATGAAACGAGGGCATCAGTGGTGCAATGGGTAACACGTGAACCCGCGCGTTCGAATCTGGCCTAGGGTCTTAATTTTGCGCGTTTCTCATCATCATTGTGGTTGTATTTCGCATGATACCCTGCCATTGAAAAAAAACAGGCAGTAAATAAAAATTAGTACAATTCACACTTTTCCCCAGGGGAAACAAGCTGGTTTATTCTTGCTGCGTAAACCTCAGCAGTTCTGGAGGCGATAAAGTCGTTGGAGGCAGTCTCGGTATCGGTTAAGTTTTTGAGCGACATCTTACGGATGATACTATAGAGAACTTCTCTCTTGAAAAGTTCTCTATCTATCTAAACAATAGTATTTGATGTCCATATGGCCGCCTCGCAGTCACACATCAAACACCGCAATGTAACTTTTGTAATCTTCCCGATCAATTATGTTCAGTGTTAACTCTTTTATTTACTGCCTTTTTCTTCTTAATGGCAGGGTATGTTGCGAAATATAACTCGTATGAAATGCTGAGATATTTGCAAAACTCCGGACCGCAGGTGTATGCAGTAGGGAACCAACACACGCTGTTGTCCTGGATGGTGTGGTGGTGAAGTGCGCTGCTCCCCGGTAAGGACAACGGCGCGTGTTCGTTCTCCATTGCATACACCTGTGGTCCGGAGTTTTGCAAATATCTCAGCATTTCATACGAGTTATGTTCAGTGTTTCAAGCACAATAGCGATTCAGGTTTGACTTCAGTAGCATACCGACGATGGCTTATCCGAAGTAGGCGTAATAGTGGAACAGTTTACTACTTCCTTGCGAAACAACGAAGTTAATGACGTTTGATGTTTCAGGCAGTTGGGTACAGTCTATTGCGGTCCAGGATCAACAATCCAGATTAACCGCGGTTGCATACGCACGCGGCTCCCGCAACCGATAAGC